TTGACACAAAAGTCCTTGCTTATGTACAAAACTGGAGACCGCAAACTTTCTCTTCTACTCGCTGTCTTGGGACGCTTTGTCCTCGGGAGCTGCAGTGCCAGTGTCGTCCTTTCTCAAGAGGTCATCTGCCTGGAGTGTGGCCTTGAGAGCCTCGGCGAGCTCGCGATCAAGCTCCTCTGCAAAGTTCATGTCGTCATCGTCATCCTAGTCGGGAATTCACAGGAGAAAATGCAAAGTTATCAGGAAAGAGGAACGATTTCACTGCTAGGTACCTCGTCCGCCTCGTCGAGCGCCTCCTTGGGCTGCTCGCTCGTTGTGTTGGCCGTCTCCAGTTGCTTCATGGCCTGTGTGTAAATGCTCTCCTCTACCTGGGGAATGAAAGAAACAAAGAACACGAAGAACACATTGGAATGGAAGTTGAATCTTCATACCTGTAAGTGGTGTAGCTGGTTGAGAATTTTTTGCTCGATTTGACACAGCCGCTCGGCCTCGTCTTCCAGAAGCCTGGTAACAGCAGCAAGAGAAACAAATGAAAGGCAAGAGATATTTAACTTACTTGAGCATATCAACTGGGCTCATGGAGTCCATAGGCCCGGTGCCCATGCTCTCCACGACTGCCTGCTCGGACTCCATCATCTAGGGTTGCAGCCAAAGCAACTGCTAGGGCGCGCCACGTCATTTTATTTTTTCAATTTATCTTTCTTCCCAGTCTTGAGACCGTCGAAACAAAGAAATGAAGAGAAATGTAGTGTGGAAAAACTATACATATGAATCTAATGTAGTGTTTGAAAGCTCGCATTATTTCGTCCAGCCTCGACAGGTCAAGCACGCTGTGTTCCTGACGACCGTATCGACTTGTGAAGATGAAACTAAGGCAACAATCCCTTATCTCGCATATCGGAGACTGTGTCACACAGCATTCGTTCGAGTGGTATGTCGAATTCAGTAATCAGCTCCATGATCTTCTTCTTTCCCATTTCCTCGGGATACAAGCCGTATTCACTCAAACCGCTCGTGTCAGCAACGCACCTGGCGTTTCCAGCTTTAATAGGAACCCCGGAAAGGAAATGCTTACTCTTTTGGATATGGAAGCTGAGGGAACTTGGCCTTGAGAATCTCGATGATTTCCCTGTTGGGCACCAGACTTTCCACGCAGAGATAGCGGCCCGAGGCCTCCTCCTTGTCCATGGCCTTAATGTGAGCTTTTGAGACGTCTCTCACGTCCACAACTGGGATGGACACATCGGGATAGCTGCTTTGGCTACCTGCAAAACGAGACGTTAACAGGCTTCCCAAGCAGTGAAAACTTGGCACAAACCATCCACGAGAACCTTCAAGACCTCACTGCTGAAATTCAGCGTTGGCTGGAGCATCGGGCCAAACACGTACGAGGGGCAGATCGTGATGAGGTCAAGGCCGTACTCCTTGGAGAGACTCCACGCTAGCTTCTCAGACTCCGTCTTGGCTACCACATACCATTGCTTGAAACAAGAGTTCCAGTGAGTAAAGTCTACCATCGATACAGTTCTTTTACCTTGAGCTTCCTGCAGGCGTCAATGTCGGACCAGCAGCTCTCATCGACAATTCTTTCCCTAGGCCGATTCGGATCGATCAGAACTGCAGCCATGGACGACGTGACGATGACCCGTTTGATCCTCTCCTGTGCGCAGGCTTTCAAGACGTTGCGAGTGCCGGTGATTGCTGGCAGCAAAACATCCTGGGACTCAAAAACGAAGTCAGCCTTAACCAGAGGAAAGAAATGAAACAGGACATACAAACTACTTACATCTGGATTCTCAGGCGATATGGTTACAGGGCAAGCGGTGTGGAACACAACTTCACAGCCCCGAATCGCGTCAGCGATTGAATCGTAGTCAAGAACATCAGCTTTATGTAGTTTGAGTCTCTCGCTTCCATCCAGTTGCTTTAGATGTCCATACTTGGCGTTATCTGAAAGCCACCATCACTTGACAAACTAAGATAGAACAAAGATAAGAAAAAAGAACCTGGATCACGGACAGTGCCATGAACCGTACAGCCTTTCTTCAGGAGATCACGAACGATCCACGAGGCAATGAAACCACCAGCTCCAGTCACGCAAACTACCTTCGCCATTCGAAGCAATCTTTGAGTTCCTGCAATTCACTCCTTCCTAATTTTAAAAAAAAAAATGCTGCATCGAGGAGACGTGTTTCCTGCTAAAATTTCAACTGCGCAAGGACTTTCGAGGCGTGTGGGACTCGGCACCTTTTACTTAGGACAAAATTTTGGCTATGGAGCAGCGATGGCACCCATTACATATTCAAAGGAGGCAGTCCATTCAGCTTTGAAAAGGAGCTCCTTGACCATTCGCATTATGTCCAGAGACATGTCCAACTTACGTTGCCAACCCTGAAAAGGAAAGCAAACCAGCTTAGGCACTCTGAATTGGCACAGCGCATATCTGACCTCGAGAATCACTACCGTCACCATTACCGTGCACACCTCACCATCGAGGTTGACGCGGTACCTTCTCACTTGCTCAAACAGCTCTGCTATGTAATCACCCATCTTCGAAGTACCTCGTACTGACAAGTACTGCTTGAAGGTATTGTCGACATCGCCTATGAAAGCCTGTGACCAAACGGTTCAGTGTGATGTCTTCCCGGCTGAAAACAGCATACCTCTGGATTGGTACACGTTTGATCCTCTGAAAACTCAAGTGCGCAGCGTGCAACTCGAGCTCCATCTTTATCGGAGAGTGCCTTTCAAGGGACGTTGTCAGATAAGCCATGGAAAAGAAAGAGAAGCAATAGATACCTTAAACAGTTCCAGAAGAATGTACCGGTTTCGTTGACTTAGCTCGGCTGTCATTCCCACATCTAATAGTATCAATTGAGGAACCTTTTTACCCAGCTTTACGAACATATTGCCAGGATGGAGATCACCATGAATGAAATTATCTGACTGCCATACCACGATCGAAATAAGCAGCAATCAGCTTAAAAAGTTTCCATACCAACAACATCTTCAAAAGTAGACTACTCCCAAGCCTGGCCAACTGAGAATGTAGTTTCGTCCGTGGACCTTCGTCGATAAATTCTTGGATGCTCCGGCCTTCCTCAAATGTCTGCAAAAATTACCATTTAAAATCGATATAGGAAACCTAAGTTTATCGTAAGTTACCTCAACTAAAACTTCGGGATGCACAAGTGGATAAATAGGCCGTGGAAAAGAAACATTTCGCCATTGCCGAAAATTGTATATGAACCTCATCAAATGTGCTGCCTCAAGAGTCAAATCTACCTGGGAAATGAACGAGACTGGTAATTATATATGCGAGAATAACAGCCTCACCTGTTTTGTCATGAACGTCGCGAATTGCTGGACGGTTTTATCTAGCTGCAAGTGTTCTAACGAAGAAAACTTGGTCGACATTCGGGCTAACCAATTCATTATCACGAAGTCGCGCTGAATAACCGTGCTCACACGCGGATGCCGGACCTTCAAAAGGACTTGTCAGAGGAGAGCTTCAGAATAGATTGTGTACCTTAACGGCAACTACAAGTGGCTTTTGACCTTTGGTTCTCAAAACCGCTTTGTGCACCTGAGAAAAAGTCAAGATAACACTAACGAGGAAGCACCAAAGCACGATACCTGTGCTATGCTTCCAGATGCTATTGGTTTCTCAGAGAACTCCTCAAACAGACGATCTAAAGGTAAATGGAACGCCTTCTCAATGATTTTACGTGTTTCATAAAACGTATGGGCAGGTGCCTAAAGATATTAACTTGAGAAAAAAGTTGGCGGGAATGAAACAAACACAAACCTGCGAATGTAGCTTTGATAGCTGCTGGCATATGTCCGCTGGAAACATATCAGGACGAGTGGCGGCCCATTGTCCCCATTTGATGAAAGCAGGGCCTAAAAGAAAGCACGATACATAAGCTTAATCCTCAGATAGGCAAAAAGACGTACCAGCATACTCTAAAGTTCTCAAAAGCACATACAACCACGCAGCACGCAACCTCGAGTCAGGCTTGTCCGCTGCGAACATCGATAGCACTAACGCTGGAGTGAAGAGAGCAAACAGGTACAGCGTGCGGAAGAAGAGCAACACTGCTTCAACTGTCTTTGCCATGAAAACGAATCACTTATCAGATCAAGAATACCAACACCTCCGCTCGGGATGAAATTGCAGTACCTTTTGCCGGAAGGTGGCCTTCTTGAGCTGCAAATCCGTGTGGCTTAAAGACAGACCCGTGGGTGGAGGATGATCATACAGGCTTCCAAAAGGCCACTTCATTCCACCATTTGCCTCCTCGGCCATTGCCGCTCCTTTGAAGAGAAAAGGAGCACTCCCGAGTGTAAAAGCCATCCACCTGACAATCATCTGAAGATCCAAAAGAAAAAAAAAAAACATAAAAATCCAGCTTTGAGTCACGAAAGATCAAGCTCAAACCCCAGAAATGTATGTACCTGACCTTTGTGGTTTCCCAAACCAACAAAAAGAGCTGGCTTCCAGTAGCAAAACTTGGCTCCCGGCGAGTGGAGAAGAAAGAGGTGCCTTCGTTGCTTCCAGCTCTTCCATGAGTGTATCAAAAACGCCGCTCGCCTCGCATTGGACACCGTCTCAAGCCTCGCCGCCTTCTCTAGCGCGGCGCTGGCGTGAAATTGGCGAAGGAAAATCGAGGAGAAGGAGCAAAACCTCCATGTCGACGCGCGAGTGGAGGAGCCATACAGCACCGTCTGGTTCCTTGCTCGCTTGAATCCCGACTTCCCCCCAAAGCAGGCGATGGCGGAGCGATAGAGCTGGTCTGCTTTCGTCCAGGGCATCACTAAATCTGCGGGCAGCGTGCGAATTTTCTTCTCTGCGATCAAACCATGAAATCCTCGCTCCCGATTCACGGGAGATGGGAGAAAACCGCCTTGCCGACCGCGACGAGCACAAACCCTAAAGGAGAACCCTACAAATAAATATCCGTTTATGGTATATTCCGTTTTAAGGCTTCACATTTTAGGGTTCTTGGCAGGGATGGCGTCACAGAAGAGAGCGCCCGATCCCATTGCTGCCAAGGCTTCGGCGCCATCGCGGCGCTACGGCGCTTGCAAGCGCAATCACGCGCTGGGCAATGGCGGCTACTTGCTGGATGGCTGCCAGGAATTCGACACCGATTCCGAGACGAGCAAAATCTGCTCGGCCTGTGGCTGCCATCGCAGTTTCCACACCAAGATTGGGGACAATCCAGGCAGCACGGGCGCAGGATTTTCAGAGGGATTACTGGATCCACCAGCGTCACCAGGAGATAGCAGGTAAGATCGATGATCGATCGTTCTTGCCTTGAAATATTTCGCCATGGAAGGGAAAATGGAGGAGCAGCGGCCGACACTAGAAACTCCAGCACTAGTTCCAAGGGGCGGAAGCCATGCCGCTCCAAGCAGCTCCGGGCAAAGGCCTGCCAGATCTGGACGGACTACTTGCGGCCTCTCTCCGCGACCCAGGGCCTCCACGGGCGCTTCTGTGACACGAAAGAAGTAAGTCTGCGCTTCTCTTCTTCTAAGCTCTCTCTCCCCCTCCTCGCTCGCTCTCTTCCTTACGACCAATTCTAGACTTTGAGCGAGCAAACAAAAGAGCTGTGTTGCAGAGATGCAGCGAGGCGGACATCCACTGTGTATCTCCAAGTGTAGCCAGCTAAAGTGGCCTCCCCACGTCCCCTTTGCTCATCCCAAGGACATGGCCAGCCGCGAGCTCCAAGCTTTCATCAACGCATACGAGGGCGATTGGCAAGAGCACTGCCTCAGGAACCACGGCTTCTCGTCGGCCTGCGCACTTCTCCCTCGTCTAAAGAAAGGCAAGCTTTAGCTAGCATAGGAGAAAAAATGGGTGGATTGACAAGCTTCTCTCTTTACAGACTTGGATCCATGCAAAGTCTCGACCAAAGAACTCCGGCACTGGCTCAAGGAGAAAGGAAAGCCGGTCTTTTGCGTCCATCCTAAAGCCGCGAATCAGTTCGTCAACATGGGGAAGCTGGCCACTATGATCCTCCGAACTGGTGGAAAATGCAAGGTGCGTCTTAGAAAACAAGCTCTTTCTTGCACTGAAACTTGACGGGACTTCTCTGCCTTGGGACAGTTTGAGGCCGCGAACGGGTGGGACACGTTTGTGTCTGGCCAGGAGGGGATGAACAAACCGGCACTGCCCGCGGGCGAGAGAAGGAAGTGTATACGTACCATCAAGAGGCTCTACAACAGATTTATGATGGAGTTCGTCCAGGAAACGCTCAAAGAGATGGGGCTCGAGGACGACGGCGACTCGGCAGCGGCAGAAGTGTCCGACGGGGGCGGCAACGACGAGGACGACGATGCCGACGCCGACGCGAGCGAGGCCTTGAATCCCACGCCTCTGTGAGATCCCCGGTTTGATTGATCACAGCAAGGCTGAAGACACAGAATTTACGCACAGGGGTTATACTGGGTAGAAAAGAAAAGAGGAAAGCTACCACGACGGGCAGAAGTATGTTGGCTGTAGCCAGCAGACTCCTCGGCCAAGTTCGCCGCCTCAAAAGTTGGAGCCAAGCAGTGGCTCCCTCTCCGGATCATCGCTCACAGTGTGAGTTACGCATCTCTGCAACTTTACAATGAAGGTGACCACCGATCCCTTGCCAGGGCCATCGCTCTCGATCCAGATGTGGCCTTCCATGAGATTTACCAGCCTGGAACTCGAAACCATGGAAAAAGGTTGAGCCCCAGATAATTAATATATACATCACAAACCACCTTTTGGAGATCGGCAGGCCTGTGCCACTGTAATGCTTGATGTTCTTGGCGTCGAGAATCATCCCACCCCTGTTGAAGTGCTTGGGTATGTCCTGCGGGAGGAAGCCTTGGCCCGTGTCTCTCACCTGGAAGTTATATACGAACGACGTGAGCTAACAAACACACCCGGAAGATCGAAACCGAGAGACTGTGACGCTACCTGTACTCGGATGTAACAATGGTGGTCGTTGCTGCCATTGACGCCCTTCTCCAGCCTCACGCTCGTACTCACGCTGCCTTCTTTGGTGAACTTGACGGCGTTTCCGGTGATTTGGAGGAGGACTTGGACGAGGCGACGATCGTCACCGAGGACGTAGTCGGGAAGATCGGCTGCTAGTGACAGTGACAAGGCCAACTTCTTCACCGAGGCCACAGGCTTGATCTGCTCCATCACCTGTGAAGGTAGAAGGGACTGAATCACGGTGAGAGAGAAATGCGAACGTACCTCTTCGAAAATGCCGCGGAGCCTGAAAGCTCGCATGTCCAGCACGGTTTTGTCGTCCTCCAGCCTCGACAGGTCCAGCACGCTGTTGACGAGCTTGGCCAGGAGGGTGCTGTTCCTGAGGATCGTATCGACTAGAGCCCGCTGGTCTTGAGTCATGTTGGTCTCCTCGAGCCTGTGAGTGAGATCGATGATGGAGTTCATGGGAGTCCGCATCTCCTGGTTCATCACGGCCATGAAGTTGTTCCGGGCACGGTCGGCGCTCTCCGCCTCGCGCCGGGCCGTCTCGAGCTCCACGTTCTGCTGCATCAGCAGGTCCCTGGCCTTGATCGAGTCCTCCAGGATGGACGCATGGGACATAGCAACAGCAACCTGCGAAAATGGTGGCAAACTCGTTACAAGGCCTTTGCGAGAATGTGACTGAAAGGAACGAGAACCAAACCTGGTCGGCAACCGCGTCCACCATGTCCAGCTCGTGAGGTCTCCATCTCCGGGCGCTGTTTGGCGGCAGTACGAGCACCATGAGAGCAAACGGCCGGTGACCGTGAGCCTGAGACCAGTCCCCTACCCGAAAGTCATTCAGGTGGAGAAACGGGACTCTGACCGCTAGCACCTCTCCTGGAGCGTACCTGCACGATGATCTCGCGGAAGCGTTGCCAGCGGCCGTGAGTACGTGAATCGCAACCGGGCTGCTCGAGGGGATGACCACGGCCCGGTTGGCTCCAAACACGAGCTTTATGTCGGGGTGGTGGACGGGGACGCTGGTCGCCACCGCGTTGGGCGATCGCAGGCTCCGAAACAGCTCCAGCTCCGTGCCACTGCGATTCGGCATCCACAGGCAGCACTCCTCCAGCCCCAGAGTCTTGCCCAGCTCCACCAGCGTGGTGTTGAGGATGGTGTGCTTGACGAGGCTGTTGCGAATCTCCTTGGTGAGCATCCTCACGTACTTGCCGGTCTCGGCCTCGGTGCGCATCAGTCCCATCTCCCGGTCCAGCTCGTCGGCCTTGTTCTTGAGGAAGAGCTCGCGGGTCTTGACGCTGAGGAGGTCGGGGATGATCTGGACGAGCTTGAGAGCGGTGCCGCAGGAGACGACCGCGGTGAGCGCCTTGGCGACGGTCATGACCCATTCCACGCCGCGCGAGTGCGCCTCCACCATCCACAGGCTGATCATGTGTGTGGCGCCGCAGAGGACGATGAAGAGGCCGAAGAGGATGAGCACGCCGCGGTAGGGGAAGATCGAGGACTTGAGCACGAAGTAGGCGAGCTCGATCGGGATGGAGAAGTAGGCCAGGGCGATGAAGATGTCGGCCACGTATTGGTACCTGATGAGGAGATCCTCGGCCGGCCACAGCGGGTCAATGCAGTTGCAAGGATCCATGATCGATCCAGGCGCCGACCGCGATCTGTGCCAAGCAAGGCGCCGGTGTTAGAATCGAAATTTCCTGGGCGAGAGAAGCATCAAGAATCGCGCATTCGAGCAGCAACAAGCCAAAATCTAGCCCTTTCCTCTCGGCGGATCGATCATACTGCCAGCTATGGATCGCGGACCAGGATCAAGAACAGGCGCGGCGATGGAATCCAAACTCTCGGAGGAATGCACACCCGATCGGCAGGGGAACCTCACAAATCGAGAAAATATCAAGAAGAATCCCGCAGTGCTCTCGCTTCGACGATCCTGGAAGCAAGAAGAGCGCTCACCTGGTAAATTTTCTAGGAATTCATGCCCGGCGCGCGGTGGAGCTAGCTAGAGATTCCCTCGCTCGCTTCACGAGAAGCGCCAAACTGTTGCCCTAGAGAGGTAGTGATGCTAGAGAGATGATCTAAGAACAAGAGAGAGAGAGAGAGCGTAGAACCAGAGCTCACTCAAGGAGGCCAAATACCATAATTACCAGGTACGAAATACGGCCGGGTTAAAAAGTGAAAAGGGGGAAGTGGATAGTGCCCGAGTTTTATCCCACATACTTACATACGATTACGATACGAGCGCCTAGGACGGCGTTAAAAGCCACGATTACCACGCCCGGACTGGCGTGGCCTTCTCTCGTGACGCGCTGGTAAAAAAGAAAGGACTTTCCCGCCTTGCTATGCTTTGTCCGAGACCCCGAGAGAATATCCGGCACGAATGGGGAGCGAATCTCTCTCTCACGAGATCACTAAAGTTCTAGGTGATTTTATCTAAAGCCACAATCCCATGTCATGTGCTACGCCGACTAAACTATCATAGTCCAAATCCCCTCTCGTGCCTAAACTTTATGTTAGTTTACGAGGACAAGTGTGTAATGGGCTTTGGCTTGATCGAGCCATCGATTATCTTTTCTTAGTTTTCGTTCCCACCGATCAAAGATATCAAGAGTGATGATGCTGTCGTTCACTTGTCTGGTCTCAAAAGCGCCGCGGAGGTAACCATCACGCAACTTGGATCATTGCGCGACAAATTCTGCGTTTTCTTTAGAGTAATACGATATTTTATAGATATAATTAAATATACTTAACTTTACGACTTGATTCCTTCAATGTTCTTTTAGACAGAAATCTTGCAATTGGCTTTTCTTTTGTCATTTGGCCAAATTACCAGCCAAAACTGACATTAACCTCTATTAATCTTTAGGACATAACCGGACTTTCCAATCAAAATGTGACTTCCAGTGGTAAACATAACTATAAACACAGGACAGTTCCTCAGCTCAGGTAGAACATTACAAGAGCTAAATCAACTCAAGAGTAAAGATTCTACTGAAATTGCTTAGAGTGATAATATATGAAGTGTTTATAGAGCCCAAGTAAGGAGCAAGGACCCTACTTCTACTGCAATACAATGAGTTTCAGAGACATGTGGGATTGATGCAAAAACATAACAGCAATGAGGCTAAAGTCCCAACAAAAGAGTGTCAAATGTTTAATGTTTGTGTGAGATTGAAATCTAAACTACCCAAATTCAAAAGTCAAAATTATATACAGTGAGAATTTTGTTGGTTTGTGTACAATTGTGTACAGCAACGTTTGAGAAATTTTGTTAGTTTGTGTACAGAAAAATTTGGTTACACCGGTAAGACCATTTTGTAGTCGCCTTTGAGGAATCTCCACGGTCCACTTGCTGTTCCAAGCCTGGAAAATCATACTAGCTTTAGACAACGCGCGAGTAAATCTACGCTCGAATTCAACCTTAGAAGCCCGGTGATGAGGCGGAGGCACATAAAAAAGGAGAGGCCAATCCATATGCCCGGCAGCCCCCACCAGAGAGATCCCAGAAAGAGAGGAACAAGCGACGCAGCTCCAATGCATATCTATCAACACGCGAGATTAGTTTACAGAGCCACTGGAAGTTTGAAATTTGGATAGAGCACATGATCTTACTGTTGAGTAGGCAGAGAAGGCAAAGTCGGATCCTCCGAAATATAGACCGTCAACCACAAACGCCAGCGAGTTGATGGGCTGTGTCGCAATCACAAACTGCCAAGGTCTTGGTTAGTAAAAAAACGAAAAAAAAATTAGTTCTTAGGCTCAAAGCTTTACAGACCGGCAAAACGATGTTCACGATCTCAAGAACTTCGGTGTCGCGCGTGAACATTCTTAACAGCCACTGTGAGACAAGAAAGAGCAGCAGGCACACAAGGACTCCAAATCCGAATCCTATCTGCAAACCAAATAGAAAAATTACGGCCAAAGCCAAAGCAGAGAAAACGTTTAGAAAAAAGCACCTGAAGAACACGATACGCTGCCAGTTTGACCTTGTCGTACTCGGCATTTGCCAATCCCTCGGCGACGATGGCCTGGCGAAAAAGAATGAAAACATGACAATGGCTTAGAAAAACATCCAAAGCTTTGAAGAAAAAAAAGAGTTGTGGCAACCTGTCCCGCAAGAGCCAGAGAATCAGAGAGCAGTGAGGCGGCTAACCAGATCTGGACGCAAATTTGATGCGCTGCCATTGGATTAGCTCCCAGCCGAGCAGCCAGCGATGTGGCAAAAGTCATCGTCAAGAGCGTTCCAATGGTACGAAGAAGCAGCAAACCTCCTGTCAGAGCAATAGCTTTCAGAGCCTATTTGAACCAAAGTTTTTGACTCGCTTACCGGATCGAAAAAACCTCCCGAAAAACGACCATCGCAAGCGTAAGGGAAACAGCACGACAGACTGATTCAGCTTGTAGAGGAGTACGAGGAGGATGAGATAGCTGCACAGGTACAGACAGAGCATGTTTAATCCACAGTTGCAAGCAACCATTAAAAACACAAAGAAAACAAAGAAAACAATGTATTATTCTTACTCGGATATCACGGTCGCTGCTGCCGCTCCATAGACTTTGAGCCGGAGTGTAAACATCAGCACTGGGTCCAACGCAATGTGAACAACGTTTCCCAACACTGCCAAGAACAGTTTAAGCAAACAATTGGTTTTCAACGACTTTGATCTTGCCTGTGGCATATAGCGGCGTCTTGGTGTCTTTGAAACCACGAAAACTTCCCTGAATTGCCAAGGACACAACGATGGCTGGTGAGGCGATGGAGCGCAACAAGAGATACTGCTTTGCTGGAACAAACATGTCCGAATGCTGCAAGATTCCATGCGTTAGTCTGGTGATCAAAAAAGGTGGAAAAACGCTTGGTCTACCGGAGGAACTCCCATGATTTTCAAAACCTGCGACGATCCACCGGCGAGCAGAGCTGCCTCTGCTAGCCCGAGGATCAGACCCAGAGCGAGCGACGACGATACGGCAGGAAGTTGTACCCGTGGTTGCTGTGGGGGATCTTCATCTGCGAGTTCTTCTTTCGCATAATTGACAAGAGAGAAAGAAGTCATACCTTTAGCAACGCTAGCTTGCTTCTCCTCGCTGAAGGAGCTTTCCAGAGAGCTGGCCTTGTCCTCGGCTACAAAGGACGTGGTTATGGTGAGCAGTGGTATGTTGAAAACTTTGGAGACGAGGTTGAAGAGAGAAATGGAGACGCCCACTGCCGCAAGCTCCACCGATCCTGTCAAGGAGAGATTCACAAGAAAAAGTTAAAGGAAAGAACCAAAAGGATTAAAGGAAATCTTACCAATTCTGCCGATAAACATCGTGTCCACAAGCGAGGATAGAGGATCTGCGGCTAGAGCAAAGGCCGCGGGCAATGCTATTGCTGCGATCTCCCATAGCAGTCCAACCATTCCCTGGAGTCGATCGATCCACTCCAAAATCCTCTCGCTATATCAAGGGGTGGATCAAATCCTCCAGCGATGAGAAATCGTGTTAGCTCCGTCAATCCAAGCGCGACGGATTACCATCCCGGCGCATCATCGCGCCCGCGGCATCTAGGGCGGGAAACGAGGGAAATACAAACGCGACCGCTAGGTTCCAAAGATTCGCAAATGGACTAAAAATTATACTCTATACTACTTCACAGTGGATAGGGCAAAAATACTGTCTCCTTTTATCCGGAAGTTTCAGTAAAGATAATTTTGTCGTAAAAGGTAGAGGGAAACAAAATTTTAACCTGTAGTAAGACACGAATAATGGTGCCACTTGTAAAAAGGTGTCCCCACTTTTTCTATCATCTCACCATCTGTCGAATTGGTGTCCACAACCAGGAAAAAAGAAAGATCCATGATCTTCTCAAAACTTTTTCTCCAAGCAAAGGGAGGGGAGAGAGAGAGAGAGAGAGAGAGAGAGAGAGAGATGGAGGAGGCACAGAGAAGAGCTCCCCTCAAGAAACGCAGCTTCTCGGCGTTCCATAGCCAGCAGCAGGAGCACCACCAGGCCGGCCAGATGCTCCTCCTCCACTGCTACATCGAGTGCTGGAACCTCTTGCAAGGGGCCGCCGGAGTGGGACAATCAAAGCTCTTGTCCGACGATGCCCATCGCTGGACGACGACCCTCCAACCAGCCAGTGACGAGGACTTCGTCGCTTACCTCGCTCGCTCCAGTGGAATTCGCGACACCAGCGCAATTCGCAGGCTCAGGCAAGCGCTCGACGCCGACGAAGCGAGCGGCATCTCTCAAGTCGATACAGTTTGCCGGAAGAAGTGAAAAGAAAAAAAGAAAGGAGCCTGATCCAAAGAGAGAGTGTGAGTTGTGTAAGCTCACAAATATAAAACGAAGTGGCAGCTTACGCTCAGTCCGATGCCAGGTCCGGGCCGAAGATATCTGGACAACCCTGCCACTGGCCAAGCTTGCGAGCTTCCCAGTACGTTTTCATGAACCGGTAAGTGCCTTGATCACTGCCTCTCTTGAACCACCTTGGCGTCCACCCCGTCTCTTGCAACTTTCTCGCCTGTGAAGGATGAGAAGGTTTGAAACTGGCAGCTTGAGAGCAGCACAGGCAAACCTGGCGTTGTTTCTGTTCCAGCCGCTGCTTCTCTGCGTTTGCCAGGTCGTATTCCCCGTTCTCCAAGTATCTTTGGTCCGGTCTCAAGCGCGAGTCTGTTGGTGGGAGCTTCTCCTGCTAGACAACCGTAAATTGGCACGAAAGTCTTGGGATAGCAGATCGACGAACCTTGAGATCAGGGGTGATTTCGTTCAATGTTATGGCAAAGGCGGTGAGATTGTATCGCGTTGGAAACTCTGCCGGAGGATTCTTTTGCCACAGCAGTGTGGCCGTGTCCATCGGGTCGTAGCCTCGAGCATTAGACACAGGATCCCCAAGCACGTAGTACATACTCTCATCCCACTTGCCGATAAGACTAGCCAGTTTATCACCGCCTTCGTTGTGGACGTACCCTTGAACCTACGAAACAGGACGTGAAAGTACCGATACATTAACTCTATAGAACCCAGATTAAAAAGGAAAACGAACCTGATGCGGATTTCTATCTATCATAGACTGCTCTTTGAATTTGAGCTTACAAGAAAGACCTCGATTACCCTGAATACGCATTGTACCATAGTGATCGACATAAAGTTTGCCGAGAATTATATTGTTTATAGAGGACGTCACCTGTGAGAACCCACGGAGTTTGTCATAGCTGTACGTGGTATATTGGCTTCACTTTACCTTGCTCCATTGGAATGTCTCGCCATCATCAAATTGAAGTGTGAGTACTCCAACGGGATCAAGTTGAATTGATCTACCCCAAAACTTGCTTTTGAGCGTACTGTCTCCCCAGAGTTCCCACCCTCGGCCTTGACAGTGACAAGCAATGACCATTGGATGATGGCTTACCTGCAATGACCAGCAATATTAGTTTCGAAGAGTGAAAAGAAGTTCATGCTTACCTTCTCAGCTATAAAGCGTACGCCTTTGTCCGGAAAATCTGCTTCATACGTTTCTCCGAGCAATGGATTAAATGGCTTGCAGTGTCGGCCTTCTGTAGAAGCGTAGCCAGAAACTGCGAAAGCTGCCACGTACAATATTCTCATTAGCCTGTTTCCCTGTAGACAAAACACTGAGTTGCGTCAGTCTTGGTAATCGTATTTCCGTTACCTTTTGTCCATATTCTCTGGCGCGATCAAGCAGTTGAGAGTACTCCAAATCTTCAAAGCATTTTTGCAAGGACGATAGTGGCTCGTTGAAATAAACTGGCAAGCAAATTCGACTCAGGTCCTTCCCAATGTTGTCTCTGATCATGGACCAAAGGCTGACACAGTTTTCAACTTCCTTTGGTTCCGGTAGCCTGGTGCGCCTTTTAACAGAAGGATATACAACATCCTCGCCAGAAGGCCCGTTGCTTGAAACATCCTCGTTCTCAATCAGCTCCACAGTTGTGTTAAACACGGCGCTCTCAAGGTATGCCTCCGAGAGAGACTCCCTGGTGTCAAAGAAATCCTCGTCATCTGACTCCGCTTCCACGACTTCCTGCCGTATGTCTTCATCAGATTCTGATTCATCGGCACCTAAAAGGCGTAAAACTGCAAGAAAACGGGCCAGAATCACGTTTCCACGTACATGAATGAGTCTTAATACCGTGGTCTTTCAACGCTCCCACTACGTTCCCTGCTCCCGCAGACGCATTGTTCTGCATCTCGTCTACAACTGTAGTCTCCAGCTCTAGCTTATCAGCCTGACAACATCGATGACATTGTCACCACAATGTAGAATCACCCTGAACTGAAAAAACATACCTCGAGAAGTCTAATCTTTTCGATCAAGAACAGCCTCTTTTGTTGCATTACTCTCAGTTGGTGTTGGATTTTTGTAAACTCGGACATCATAATTTTCTCGCATTCTTTTATCCCTTGCTCGGGGACTCCCAGCTTGACAAGGTGCTCCTTGAGCGCGTCTGTCGAAATTTTAATGTTGTCTGCCGGCGGAGGATAGCTTAAACTGCTCATGTCTTTCGGGAAAAGGTCCTTGGAAGTTCTTAACGCATCCATCCATGCCGTCCTGTCCTCCTTCGACTCCGCACGGAGATGCAAAGTTTTTGTTCCCGTATAGATGTAAAACTTCCTATCATCTGACTTGCTCTCTCGGAGAGAGCACACCTATCAGAGAGAAAAAAAAAGAAAAACTTATGGTGACTTACAAAAAAAGAAAAAAGAAAGAAAACAAAAGTACCTTCAAATGTACCTCTCCAAATGTTCTTCGATGCTGCCTCTCCTCGCCTTGGGAACAGAACTTTGGCTTCTTCAAGAGCTTCCGCGACTCATCTCCAATGATCTTGGAAGCCTTGATCTGCTCGTTGTGCACGCAAATCTTATCGGGTCCATGGATCTTGTAGTAGAAAAGAATGCCGTCCTCGAGCTCAAACCATCTGGGCCTCCATCCCTTTCCATAATTCACCCACTTGTGAAGAACACCGGCTAGCGCCGGGGCTGAAGACGCGCAGACATCGCCAGAGTGGCTCTTCTTCCTCGTTTTCGTGGTTGGCGATTTGGCGAGCAAATCCCCGGCATCTGGAAATGCCGCTGGGGCTGCTGGATTCCTGGCGGTGAAAGACGGCACCTTGGAGCCAGTGGCCTTGCTAGGCTTGGAAGAGGACGCCGCGGCCATCAAAGCGCAGCAAGGAGGACGAGGACGCGCGAGACGATCTCCGCCATTTCACAGATTGGATCGGCATACCGTGGCGCCGGATTGATTAGAGCCGAATTCCACGCCGATGCCATGCCGGCTACAAAAGCGATGCGAAGATTGCGCCATCGCCAAATTGAAAAGCCCTAACCCTAAGCTCCGGTGATGGTGGGAAAAGCTGACACGTGTCATATTCAAAGATTTTCAAACAAAATTAAGTTCCGTGGACGGCAGGATTCGAACCTGCGCGGGCAAGCCCACATGATTTCTAGTCATGCCCGATAACCACTCTGGCACGTCCACTTAGCTGTTAAAGTAAGATCATAAAGATAAAATGGGAAGCGCGAGCACGCACTTAGCTACTAAAGTAAGATTAATTTGAAAAAATTGGCGGCTTTAACGAGCTCGCCTGAAAGTATTCCGTGAGGCAATCGCCTTGCAAACTCTACACCATAATCTTTCTGGAGAGATTCAGCTCCCCTTTTTTGATCATCCTAATTGTACATTCAATCGAAGTACCGCCGAGTTTGGGACTTTAGAGAGTAAATGAGCCTGTGGATGTGCTTCACTCCTCGTCCCACCTTGTCCTGAATGAAAAAAAAAAACATGTCTCTAGATCGAGGATGGGAGCCTCTATTGCTTACCTCTTTGATGGACTCCAGCTTCTCAAACGTTGGGAGTAGCTTCTGCCCAAGAGCATCCAGCTCGCCTTTCTGTGCCTGCATTGAATCCTCGGCTCCTTGGGCAGCTTGTTGTCTGTAAAGCAAACCATAAGTTATGGGTGTTTTAGTTTGATGAACTTACATCGCTTCGACATGGAGGTAGAGGATTTCCAAAGCTTGCTCCACGACGAGAACAAGGCAAGCGATTTGAGTATCGCGGATGCTGGCATCTGTACACATCTCCACCATTGCCAAGTACCTTCTGCAACCAAATTGTGATAAGTAACAAAGCAACGAAAACGCTACAATTGGATAGGACCTCTTTCGCATGCTTTCCATTTCGGACCCTTGCTTAGACTTTGCGATGTCATCGACTTCCTGCCTTGTAAGCTCGTTAATATCAGGAAGCTGCAAGAACAAACAGGGTTGGATGCTTCAAAACTGTTCAACGCCGAACCTTAGCCACGATAAGCATTTTCTCTTCCGCAGAAGATTCGAGATCTAAAGCCGCCTGTTCCAAAAGACTTGAGACAAGCTTGAGGCTGGGTTGCCTTTGAAGTCC